TGTGAATAAGGCGCGGTGCGGCAGACGATAGCTGGATATGCACAAGATGTGTCCTAACCTCTATGAAGAGATTGGCGATTTCCAAGTAAGGCGATGTCTTTTCATGTGCGAGAATTTTGGGCTTCACAGGAACAATTCGTGGTCTGTGCAGAGTTGAAGCTGTCCATCCGGTTGGATGGGTTTGCATGTGGACCATCAAGATGCCTTCATGATTCGTCCAGGGATCCCACTTTGGCACTGAAGTCTCGGGCGATCACTGCAATCTCCGTTGATTGAACACTTTGGAGTAAGTGAGGGAGATCCTAGTAGAGTTGATCCTTGATTTCAAGAGTACTGCAATCGGTTGGTGCATACATCGATATGACGAATAAGCACCGATGACAAGTTCTGTGGCTGTTGACCCGTACTGAACCATTCAGACGTACAGCGCAGTCGGCTGATGACGGCAATTCAGTTAAGAAGCAAGCGATTAACCTTGACACTTAGAGCGGTCCCGACACTAGAAGCACCACGAGCGGCGGATACCGAGTCGGCCGACACAAAGGGAGTGAAGAGTGAGGATGAGGTTGGGTTAGAACGCAGGACAACGATTGAAGTAGTGTTTCGGAGACAACATACGGGGCAGTGTGTTTCGGAGAAATACGTCTAAATTGAAAGTTTTAGGGGTTCTAGCTGAGGCAGTTTGTTGACTGATCTGGCAATGTGCGGACGATGAACGCGACCAAGTAGAGAGCGGATTTCGGCTTCAACAATCCTATGACTTCAGATTGATTGAACTTACCGCCAAACGTTGAGTGGGATAGGTGGCGTAAACAGGAGGCATCTGGGATTATTCGTGAGTAAGAGGAAGAACTAGGTAGATGGGAGAGTTTTTCCAAATGGATGTACAAAACTTTGGGGTACGACATACTTCGTGGTAACTCACGTCGACGAAGAGGTTATTCTTTAGGAACCGTAAACGGAGCCTTTGACTCAAAAGTCTGNCCCCCCCCCCCCCCACGCGGAAATAGCATCATCCTTTATCTTCCTCGTATATAAGTAAATCGAACAACTGTCATTAGTTATTTGGTAAATCACCTGTGGGATTGGCCTTTTATCACACACGTTTTTCAAATAGAAAACGTGTGACATGCATGTTTTATTTACTGTAACTTGTCGAAAGCGCTGAAAGTTAACCCTATTTGGTGCATAAAGCTCAACTTGAATTGACTTGAGAAGTACCGATGTTCCTCCATTAAAGTATACCTGATCAGGAAAAAAAATATTCCTGATCAACGACAAAAGAGAGCTCTTCATAATCCCATAAAAATATCCTGTAGTATAACATTTCATTCAACTCGGTTTATTTAGCCTAAAACGCATATAGTATAATAAAAGGACCCGATTGGTGTTGAAGCCATGAGAAAGGAGGGATGCGCAAACACGACATCCTGCTGTGGAGAAAGGCGGATTATGGTAGACCTCCGTGGATGAACTAAGGGCAAGGTGTGCCATCATAATACCGACAGATTAATAAAAATAAAAGATTTACTACGAGAATGTGCAATGCTTAAAGTTTTGCAGTGAAAGATTTTACATCCATAGATGGAATATATTGGGATTTCATTTTAGATTCAGGTTAAATAGTTTGATTTTTGCAGTAAAGCACAACAGCTCGGAACTCACTTGACAATTCGGTGTGCATGAGCGCCGTATGAATCGTGCTTCGTTGCCGTACTTGCGTGCATCCACACACAGTGCCATTTTTGGCCAAGTTTTATAGAACAGCACGAAGGGGTTGTAACTAAAAATAAAAATTCAATTGAGAGGTAGAATTAAAACTCACTGTTTACGGTAGTCATACATCTCGTTGTACTCTGATAGAAGCATACACAATCCCCGATATTCGACGACGGGTTGTTGAGGATAGAGATCTTCCGAAGCAACGAGGCCCTGGAAAACAAAATTTACAGTAGATATATCACACAGGTTACACAACTAAACCTTACCGGAAAAAACACTTCTGTAAGTAACAAGCTCATTCGTTTTTTTCTGCAAACCATACAGCATAGACAGGTTGTGCTATATCATATAAGATAAAATGAAAAACGATCTGATCAGCTTCCGTGGTGAAGTGAATAGAATATTTGCGCTCTAACTGAGGTCCCGAGTTCGATTGACAGTCGGATCGATGGGTTCGTAGTGCTGATGAGACCCAAGCAGGAAGAAACAGCTGAAAAGTACATTCACGCTTTGCAGTTCACGCTTAATTCGTTCTGCACGTGATGAAATTCACTATAAATTAGGATCAAATCATCCATTAATTTCATACGAAGCAACTTAGGCATGAAAACATGAAGATACAAATGACCATATCCGGGAATATTAGAAGAAAACCTATTAACGATATGTGCAAATGACCCAACACAAACATTTTTAATGAATCTTGTCAGAATGAATCTGCCTGCCAAGTTGATATTTTATTTAAGTAACTAGAAACAAATTAGGTTCATTTACATATACGATCACTTGCGGGAAACACGGAAGGTGCCAACAGCCAAACTGGGCAAATGTATAAAGTAAAGTAAAGACAGGAGATTGGAGTTTTTGCTTTATACTGCACATTTAATGGTAGTCTTTTATGCCACTGCTTTAGTTGGAGAGGGAAGGAATCACAAAGAATTAGAATAATCGTTAGCAACATTTACAACACCAATTACGATTCAGAGCTCCTTCCTCGGGAGCTTCTAACAAACGACACTTGCCGATCCCGCAGCCAAAGTTGGGCAATGGCGAAGAACTGACAGGCGTACGCTGTTGATTCATCAATGCCCCTACACCAAGTTATGGACTGTCTGAAGAGACGTTTCTTACAATCATACCCAAAGACGGTGGGTAGACAGAAATGGTGTATGGTGGTGTATGCACTCTATTGGAGGCGGTATAGTGTGATTTCTTCAGACCTCCACATAGCCTACGTGTTATCGATTGGTTTGAAGACAGCGATGCACAAAGGCGTTGAGCACATTTGACGAAGGAAGGAGCTAGGTGTAATAAGCATAAAGCTAGACAATGCAGCTGTGGTACTATGCCTACGTCTCCTCAGATAGATGTGGGTGTCGTGACGGCACCACAAGTGCCTCAGTTTAGTGAATGCCAATCTGGACATTAGCGTGAGATGTGATTTTCACTAGCGCCGTCAGTTGCAATTTTACTTCCGAGGTAAACCAAGTTTTCAACTAAACACCACTAGTGATCCCAATGGCGAGTACATGTACGTCTCTATCAAAATGGGAAGACAGCCTATTAAAACCCACCAGAAACGATAACTCACAGCGAAAGACGGTCATACCACAGGCAGGTAGGCAGGCAGATATACCCACATTTCAGTCCAAAACGCCTGAGAATAAGGCCTCTCGGGTAATTTGCTTACCAAAAAGCAATTCCATGACACAGACCTGTTAACAGAGTCGAAGGCTGTTCTGATGTCAAGAACTATGAAAAGTGGCCTCTGGAACGCTCAACGGTACTCAGATTGCTAGCGAGTGCTGGAAATTCAATCAAAACAGCAGCTTTGCTGTCTTCCGGATCAATGCCACGCTAACCCAGTGGAGCATTATATGGCTTGCCAAGTACTCTGACTCCCGTTACCTGTTTGGATCACTGAACACCGGACCTTCGCAACTATAGAGTCCTACAAATGGGCCATAAAAAAATCTAGAACCATCGTAAAACCCTGCCTGTTTTTCTCGAGTCAAGTTATCAAGTATTTTGGTTAACCTATGGAGTGGAACGGACGTTAGCTCGAGATTAATCTCACATTCCGGTATTTGACGCAATCGATGCGTAAGTTCTTAATGAAGATGAGGATAACGTGTGATTCCCGTTACAAAGAAAGAATCCTTTCTCTGGTTAAAAAGCAGTTCCTTTGTGAATCGAGTTTCGTAGTTTACGGAATGGGACTGGAAGAATATCAGAGCTCTCAGTTTTTTGGGGCTTTAGAAGTTGCATCACCCAACGGATCTCTCTTTTTACAGGTGGTTCTATTGAAACAAATCACCGGAATTGTGGTAAATTGTTCATTTAAATCATCAATAAAAATAAACAGATAGGACAGCCAACGCATTCAATTTTTCCGCGGAAGATATGTGGATTAAAGAAACAATGAGGAAAACCATAGAAAGATTGGTAAAATAACCGAATGATCGACTATTTCGTGTGGTTTCCATGGGAAAAAATGATGAAACAATATAACGCATGTTGGATAGTCAGGGGCGAAAGTGAATGAGTATCGCACGCCACAACCTTGGGCAATTCTTTGGTTAGAAATTTTATGACAGTCATCGAAGGGAGAATAGATGATAATAGTTCTTGGCTGGCACGTCAGTGGTGGAAGATACAATTAATGGTTTGAGTTCATGCTTCACTCCCTATGATCTAATCGACAGGACCCGATGAGCTTGGCATGAAGCAAGAAGTTAACAGGGTTGGCTGTTCACAGCACAAACCCTCGGGCATATCGTCTAACAGATTAATCCTCTCCGAAAATCTTTCAGGGGCTACAAAAGCTGCACAGCAGAGTACCAAAATAGAAGTTTAGACGTTGTATGGGTCAAATTTTTCGTCGCATGATTTGGCACGAGTAATGGGATTAAAATAAAGATTATGAGGAAGGTCAAGACACCGTAGAGAACAGTGCATTACTAAATACCCGGAGTTAGCTGTTGACGCTTCCGTTAACCGCAATGACTCGTAAAATGAATTATTTGTCAAATCCCAATTTTTTTCTTTTTTTCTATTTCATTTTTACTTCCTTTTATTGGACACACAATGAAGCAATTTCGGGAAGGGGGAAGCGGCCAATCAAAGGGTTATCATTCATTCCGTAGGTTGCCGATGGACAGCAACTCAAGGGTCAGGTCAACGGCTGTATGAAATACGTACAACTGGTAGCACCGATAAGGTTGTTAAAAACCTAACATTGGAACCCTACCACGACATGCGATAAGATAGGGTAAGTTCCACTGGTATGCAAGATAACACAATTGCTATTACCTCCAGATATTGGAATGCAATGCTCGAGTTTTCGTGCAGTGATATATATTGGTAAAACTAAGGGAAGGTTGCACAGACCTACCTTGCGATTGAACTCAAAACACACCACTTGACACCGATGCATTGCGGACAGTCGGGGTGGAAGATCATCGACTGAAAACGTGCTCATCTCACTTAGTGCATTGGGTGGCGCTGTTGGCGAAACTAAACCGTCAAGTTTGTCAAAAAGACGATCGCTCATACGCAGGTCTGATGCTTCTTCGTATCCTTCTAACGGAGGCGAGCGAATTGAATCGGAGGACAAAGTAGAGGATGGAGAAGATCCATCTGCGCGCAGCTCTTCAGAGCCGTTCTGTAACAGGCTGCGTCGCTGATAAGACTGTTGTTGTTGCTGCTGAGATTGATGTGGCGATTGTTGTAAATGCTGTTGCTGTTGTTGGTCCGGGCATTGCATCAATAAACGATGCAGCGAACTGCCAGCCATTTTTGCCATAGATCCTGTCACTTCTGGCGTAGATGTGTAAACGTTTTTAGCAACGACGGTTCCCAGAGGTGACGCGGTGGACAGTGAGTCCGTGGACACGGTTGTGTGAACCTCCGAAGTTTGGGTCTCCAACAGTTCAGCGGAACCACCACTACCAGACACAGAGCTGGTCATGCATTCCAACCCCGCATTGGAACTTCCAGTGACTGAAGTAAGGGGTAAAAACAGGAAATAAGTGAACGTTTTTGTGATTCTGGGAGCATGATACACGGCAAAGTGCATAAACAGTCCTGTGTGAATCGAATAACTACATAAATTTAAAAAGCAAAGAAACATTCCTCAGGTAAAAAGTGCAGGAATATCAAACAGCAATAACACTGTGCAGAACGATGCAGGAGTACTAGCAAAAAACAAGAAAAATGTATAGTAGTAGGATATCAATCGGAAGTCTTTGGTGAGGAAACGATCGTTACAACGGGATCTGGCAGAGACAATCATGATTTTAATGTATACACAATCCATTATTGAGCGATTTTTAAATACAGCTATGACTCTTGTTGACATGAAAACCTTGAAGCTCCGTTAAAATCAATAGTTTAATTTTCTTGTCATAGTAACGCCAACAAATGGGTGAAGTAAATATAAAGGACGATTTGAGTAACCATAAAATGCACGACCACGGGAGAGTAGAGTTCACAATATCAGCTTACGTGTGAGCAAGTCTTGTTTGCGCTTCGAGCTGCGAAGTGGCTGCGACTGGGTTATACAAGGTGTGGATTGCGTAACCAAACTGATGTAACGAGCGGTGCCAGTGTTCAGTTGAGTTGTGTTAGACAAAACTTGGACTTCTGGGCGAGACACAGGAGCAACCTGATGTGTTCGATTAGGAAGGCATAGATGAAGCTGGCGAGCATTGGTCGAGTTCGCAGCTGGTGTAACAAAGATACGACCGGATGCGCTGCCTGTACCCAGTGCAGTAGTACGGGAGACACGAATACTGGTGCTTCCGTTGGTTCCAGAACCGGAAAAATTAGAAAGCTGATGCCGTTGGATGGTGACCGTAGCGGAAGGCGGTGGTCGCGTGACAACACAACGGTCACAAACGTAGGGTGATGGAATCGCTGCTCCGTTCGCCGGGGTAACACAGTCCGCATGCAGCCAGGAGCTAAAGAGACAAAACGTGCAAAGCAAAATTTCGAAAACTGAAAAACTGTTTCACCTTTGGATAGAGGAGTGATTTAAGAACGGAAAGAGGTAGAAGCAAACTGATCACTTCTGGCTTTTGAAAAATCTTATTCTTCTCAAATCCGTGAATAGGAACTAGGGTATCAACCATACAAAATTACATTTATCTGACAATTGATCTGAAATGTTATTATCATGTAATACACAACTGATAGTACACAAAGTAAGCAGGTTGGTTAAACACCCTCATGCATTACGTAAGCTAGCAGGGGTTTTGACACACACCCTCTTTGACCCTCTTTTCTTCCGCTTACAAAATGCATTCCTTCGAATGAAACTGTACCTAGAATGAACATTTTCCTCAGTATCTGCCTTCGGACAGTGTCTTCGGATAAGCTGTTTACCCCTCTTACTGCAAATCACTTTATCTGTACAATAAAAGGGGTCGGCACATAAACTCAACAGCTTTCGTACTTCAAAAGTGTAAAACATGCTTGATGTAGTCATGTTAAAGAGGAAAGCATTCACCTTATCCGAATCTCTCGTGTGTAAAACAAAATGATCCACAGAAAAACAAAGCCTACATTGAGATTATTGGATTCCTCCATGTATTTTCTGTAACCCTTTTTCATGTCTGGTTGGAATTGATGAACACCGTTTGTTAGGTGTCGTATTGACCCGAACGGCAGCCAGGCTACCTGCAGGTTTCGAACCTCCGACCTTATGGTCCAAAGCACACCGGTGATAGCGAGCGCATCCTACCTGAGGTTTTGGGTTTGACTCAGTTAGATAGAGAAATTCGTACTGCTGGTGAGAGTGAACAAGATTCATGTATTCACCTACCTGAAAGAACCGAAGACAAACGGTAACAACAGTCAACGCAACTCTACATAAGTCACCAGTTCAAAGGCGACCGTAGGTGTAATTTATTAATGGGACGCCTTGATAAGATGATTGCTCGAACATTTCCCGTGATTTGTTTGCATATGCATTCCACAAACCGATCCATGTTTTCATTGTTTTTTTAAGATAAATTGCTGATCTTCTCTTCATTCTTCTGTTTACTCAGGTTCGACAAGCTACACGGGTAAGACGATTAGGCAAGTTCCACAAAGAATCAAGGGCTGGTTAAGGACGGGGACAGTATTAGAATTATAACGAGTGACATTACGGCGCATCTAGTGGATACAGAACACCAGGTAAAGGAAGATGCGTTTGAAATCGTTTACAAGGTAACCCCAAACTTATGCATGCCAAGTTAGTCAAACCCCTCTAGCCCCTTGCTCCAGGGCCGACACAGGACCCAAAATCACTAGTGACTATTACTGTTTCCACAAACCGGGAAATAACATGCCCACAACCTATGAACACATTCTACAGATCTTTTTTCACATTTTGGTTACGTGCCGAATGTATTTAATCCCGGTCGCACACTAACGAAAGTGATTTTTCCTCATGGATTATGATAACTGCGGTATATTACATGACATCGGATAGATTTCCCCGAAGTGCTATATATATATATATATATATCACCGGCTTGGGGACAAGCATCGTGCCAACATCAGAACGATAACAAAAAAGGGGCAGTTAGTAGGTGGAAAATTGTATCATTATGCATCCAATAAAGGGAAGTAAAATAAAAGTTTAAAAAGGGTGGTAAAACTAAGGCCTGAAATGAGGGGATGAAAGCGCTGACCAGAGGACTCGGTCGAAACGTTCGTTCTGGATGGGAATTTTCGTGGTAGTCAAATCCGCGATTAGAGAAAGCTAGGAGTGAGTGTCGCAAACAGTGCATCCATTCGATTCAAGCGTAAATTGTTCAAGTGCTCCTTTTATCCTTACCCTGGTGCTATTTCCGACTCTCTATTTTCTGTCCACCCCTTAACGCTTAACAAACCTGCCGAGTGAAAGTACAGGAACTTATCAACTAAAAATAACCCTGGCAATGATAAAAAAGGAACAGTTTCCACCACCAAAGTGAACTCCGATGAAAAAGTAGGTAACATAAGGCCTGCGAAAATACGGTGTAAGTATTGCCTCGGTTTTGCACGTTAGCGCTAATTAATGGCGGATAGGAATTACTGGACAGAACGGCGCGTGAATAATTTATACTCTTAAGAGTGGTTATTTTATGTTCAATATCGACTAACTGTCTCGATGCTGATGAACATAAACTGAAGTGAGCAGCATAAAGATATCAAGCACAGAACAAAGAAACAGGTCTAACCACCTTTGTATGTACGTTACAACAATTAAAGAAATGAAACCCGAAAAAACTACTCACCAACATTTTTCACATTGGACCACACAACCATCGGTGTGCGTATAGCCACAAGCGCATCTGATGATTCCGGGAGATTCGGTTGGGTATGTGGCACGTGGGACAGTAGTGCTAATCTGCAAGGCTGGCAGGCCTGTCCGCAGTACAACATGCGGTGTAAGGGAAGAAGTAACCCGATGGACCTGTAAGGGTGCGTTGGATGGAAGGGTAGTGTTTGCGCTTGTTAATGAAGACGAAGCAACAGTAGACACAGATGCAATAGCTGGAAGCACCAGTGCGCGGCCAGTACCGCCTGAAAGAGTGCGGCCATCTGACCCCAGGGCTGCGGATGAAGTGTGTAAACCATTGGCCAACGCAAACGCTTCTGTCGCGGATTTTCCGGTCAGCACTCGAGGAGATAGCTGAGTGAAGTCCGATGTCGATACGGAAACCAAATTGGAAGGATCTGGTTGAAATCGACTCAACTCGGGATTAAAAGACCCGGAACATTTATGTGCATAAATAGCGGACTTTGGACACTGTTTATCATCCTTGGCTAAGGCGAGTTTGGCCAGCAGAGCTAAACGATCTTCGTGTTCTGCATTGGATGAAATAGTGCTAGAGGCGTTGTTCGACCCTCCTGATTTACAATGTAACTCGACCAAAGCATAGTTATGATCCTGAAATGGGTCGAGCAGTATCAGTATTCAAAAACAGAGAACACTTACATTGTAAGGTAGACCAAAACAGCTACTATTTTCACCGTATGATACAACGTGAAAAGGATAATCGTCCAAATCCTCCTCTGTTGGCGTGCTACGAGGAGTAAATAAAAGGTGCATGGAACTTACGAATTTGAAGAGAACGAGCAAAGAGCACGCTTTGCGAACTTCGATGGAGTATCGGGTGCAGAAATCTCACACCCAACTTCATTCAACAGCACATTAAGACCAACATCTGGAGGTACAACGGAATAATCGATATCTCGTTCATCAGGTAGGTCGGGTGTGTCCTCCAGGATAGGATCAGGTTCTGGGGAAACCGGTGAGTTCTGATTGTACGACCGTCTAGAGATGGGCAGTCGTAAACCCAAAGTATGTGGCGGCGGATAAACTAGAGTGTCCATCAGGTTTGAATAAGATACCAAGCCTAAAAGTTGCACAGAGGTAGGAAAAACATTAAACCCGACTGGAGTTGGGCAATAAATGGGTAACTCCAATAAGGTGTACCGTAATCTAATCCACTTATTCGGTATAAAATACGTGGAACCCTGAGTAATGAATTCTGAGCGATATCATTCCTGGAGGAGTATAAATACAATTGCAGGGCCACAACCCCGATTGATTGAAAATCTACATCGTTTCCCATCAAGCTTTAGCCAAAACTCGCAATCCTTTAGCCAAAACCCAGAATTCTTTAGCCTTGATCTACATTCCTTTAGCCAAAAACCGTAATCATTTAGCCTCAACGCACAAACTTTAGTCACACTGCAGTAGACGAGTCAGATCAAAAAGTTTAGGAATATTCTGAAGTCAGCGAATGTTGAAAAAAATTATTTTCTATAAATGTTGATGTTGCAAAGCTTGGTCAAGAATTAAGGTGTGGGGGTCGCATGCTGCAGCACATGTTGATTGGAGAAGCTTTAACCGATGTGCCCGTATCGTCAAATCACTTGACACATCTCTTACGGCTCTAGTGTTTCTGTATAACATGCGATACTCGTAAGAGTAAAAATCTCAAGCGTAACTCAAACGGTACATTATTTTGCATTCACACGCCCTAAAATAAATCAAAAGGTATATGCTTACCGTTTCGTATATTCACTTAAGGGGAACTCTGTTTTTGACATATGGATACATTAAAAGGTCGAGGATAATAAACACTGTTCACAAAAGACCCTTTTAGAACACCGTGTCTCAAGAAGCTATAGACAAAAACCGGTAATAATTTAGCCTCAACCGTGGTAATTATAACTTACGTTGCATTGTTAATAAACTGATGATAGTTATGAGGGTTTGTTATCCTCAGCAGGTTTTTGTATCCCCTTCTGATGAACAGAGTTCACTTGTTAATGCAACGGGTTTTGGCTAAAGCATTGCGGGTTTTGGATAAAGGAATGTAGGTTAAGGCAGGGAGATTGTGGGTTTTGGCTGAAGGATTACTGGTCGAGGCTAAAGGACTGCGGGTTTTGGCTAAAACCTGATGGGAAAAGGTGTAGCTGTGTTCAAAAGAGAACTGAACAGGCTCATATTCCACTTGCTTCAGATAAAAGGATCCATTGAGTGATATTTCTTAGTTACTAACTCCCCAGGATCACAGATTTCAAGGTC